GGCGGGCAGAGAACCGCCGCACGCCTCGGGGCGCACGGCGGGCAAAAAACCGCCGCGCGCCTCGGGGCGCACGGCGGGCAGAAAACCGCCGCACGCTCCGAGCGCGTGGCGGGATGAAAAATCCGTTGCACGCCACGGGGCGTGCAACACAGAGAGTAGCAGTAGCAGCGGAAGCAGTGAGGTGGGGCCCACAGGCCAGGAGCATATCGCTCTAATACCATGTGAAGATAAGCAGTAGAAGAAGGCGCCATAGCTAGGAAAGCCCTAGCTAGGCAAGAAACAGTTTAGGCAAAGAGGGGGTTCACTAGCAGGAATGAGGATACAAATAGCAAACCCTAGAAGGGTTGTACTCGCTATAGAGCACCCCACTACAGGCTAGAGCATAACATTCTGACACAGCTTCCAGGGATGGAAACCGCTTTCGTGGCCAGACCCATCGGGCCACGATCAACGCCGTCCATACACCCGACCGCCCTCCTAAGGGACCGTGTTACCGGTGTGGGAAGACGGGTCACTACATGAAAGACTGCCACGAGAAAACGCCGCTAACGGGGAACGACAGGAAGGAGGAGGGAAATGGGAAGAGTCGGTAATTAGCGGGCCCTTTACTGACTGTGCTCCGTCGCCCGAACCCCACCATCCCCACCGAGTCGTGGTTCCAATTCATGCAATCAATTGCACTCGGCCGAATAACGGGGATACACATGTGGATCACCCTGTGCTGGTCGCTGGCAAGGTGTTAAAAAATAGCTTGAAAATGTTCGTCGATGGGGGGGCCAGCCATAGCCTCTTCAATTTGGCGAGCGCAAAAAAATGCAAGCTGCAACTTGACAGGTGTCTGCCCGAAATTGACGCCCGCCTGGTGGATGGGACGCCTCTGGCGATAACGGAAGAAACACGGACGGTCACGATCGAATGCGGCGACGATTTCGGCTTCAGCATGAAGTTTCTCGAGGCAACGTTGGACGGCTGCGACGTGCTGCTGGGACGTGATTGGCTGCGACGGCAGAACCCCGTCATCGACTGGACAACGGGATCCTGCAGCATCAACAAGCACGAGGGGCTAATTAAGTTGCCTGCATGGACACCTGACTACATCCAAGCCCCGTGCGTCAAAGCCATCACTATAGCTTGCCACTTCAACAGGGGCGCGCAGCTGTTCGCCGTTTGCTTACGCGAGTTGGCGGTTGACACCAACGGAAAGGACATCGAGAAGCTCTGTACAGCTGTACCACCGGATTTAGCGGAGCTGATTCGGAGGTACCCCGACATTTTCCCCGACGATCTGCCACCTGGACTGCCACCCGAGAGACCTGAGGACCACAAAATCCAGCTGGAACATGGCGCGCAGCCGACTGTTCGGACACAGTGGCGGTTGACCCAGCCGGAACTCGAGGAGCTGCGAAGTCAAATTGACGCACTGTTGGAGAAAGGGTTCATTCGGGCCAGCACATCTCCCTTCGCAGCACCGATCCTGTTCACTCCGAAGAAAGACGGCGGGCTTCGCATATGCATCGACTATTGCGCGCTGAACCGGGTCACCATCAAGTCTCGCTACCCAATCCCACGAACCAACGACCTCCTCGACCAACTTCGCGGCGCTCGCGATATCTCGAAAATTGACTTACGTGGCGGTTACCACCAGATTCGAGTCTTCGCCGACGACTGTCACAAGACTGCGTTTCGCACACGCTACGGGAGTTACAAATTTACAGTGATGCCTTTCGGCCTCACGAACGCGCCTTCGACATTTCAGCTCACCATGAACAGGGTTTTTCAGGATCTTCTAGACCGATGTGTCATCGTCTACTTGGACGATATCCTGATTTTTAGCAAGACAAGGGAGCAACACCTACGCGACCTGGGTGCGGTGTTTAAGCGGCTACAGGAGAACCGACTCATCACCAAGGGCTCTAAGTGCGAGTTTTTTAAGCAGGAGTTGGAGTTTTTGGGGCACGCCCTCTCACGCGACGGCATCAAAACCGACCCGGCGAAAATCAAGACCATACAGGAGTGGAAGTCCCCGACGAATGTCACGGAACTCCAGGGTTTTCTGGGCTTTGTGAATTACGTCAGGCGGTTTATCCCGAATATGGCGGGGATAATCGGCCCGCTGACCGACCTGCTGCACAAGGACAGAAATTTTGTGTGGGGGGAGGAGGCAGAAGCGGCTTTCCAGGAACTCAAGAATTTTCTCGTTTCCCCTCCTGTGCTGTGCATCGCCGACCCATCAAAGCCATTCGAAGTCGTCACCGACGCCTCAGATTTCGCCATCGGAGCTGTGCTACTCCAAGATTTCGGGAACGGGTTGCAGCCGATAGCCTACGAATCACGCAAGCTGCAGGCAGCCGAACGCAACTACCCGATTCACGACAAGGAGATGCTCGCCATAATACACGCGTTCAAACTGTGGCGCTGCTACTTGGTGGGCGCCGACGTCACTGTTCGCACGGACCACAAGTCCCTACAGTACCTGCGAGCCCAACCCAACCTCAACTCGCGACAAATATGGTGGCTGGATTACATGGAGAGCCACTTCACCTACCGCATCACGTACAAGAAAGGGGCGAATAACATCGCCGACGCCCTGACCCGACCGACAGTACAATCCGCTGCAGTACTCATTACCCACGCGAACCCATTACTTACCGGACTATTCACCCACGACTACACTACGGACCCGTTCTTCACGACTGAAAATCATCAGCAGGCCACGATGCAGAAAGGGGACTATTACCTAAAAGCCGGAACCGACCGGATTTGGGTTCCCGCTTACAGGCTGCTGCGTGAACTCCTTATCCAAGAGGTCCACGATTCGAACTTCTCCGGACACTCTGGGGTTGATAAAACCCAGAAATTACTGCACCGTCAATATTACTGGCCTGACTCCTCTAACGACGTGCAGCGATATGTGTCCTCATGCAGGGTGTGTGAAGCCATGAAATCGACACGTCAACGACCAGCTGGCCTGCTGCAACCCCTCGAGCCACCCGAACGACCGTGGCAGCAACTGACAATGGATTTTGTCCCGGGGATGCCAGATGGGCCGTCCGGCAACGACGCGGTGCTCGTCGTCGTCGATCGCTTCACAAAAATGGCGCATTTTGCCCCATGCCGAACGACAATCACAGCCGAAGAAACTGCGCGTCTCTTCATCTTAACGGCCGTGCGACTGCACGGCATCCCTTCGGCGATCATCAGCGACCGAGACCCGAAGTTCACATCAAAATTCTGGAAGGAGACATCGGCGCAGTACGGCACGAAGCTACAGTTCTCCTCGGCGTATCACCCACAGACGGACGGCCAGACCGAGCGGACCAATCAGACCATGGAGCAGCTGATCAGGACAAACTGTCCCGACCCTGCCCGCTGGGAAGACTCTCTCGCAATGTTGGAGTTCGCCTTCAACAACGCGCCGTCCAGCACGACTAATCACTCCCCGTTTTTTCTTGAATCACGGGATGGACCCGACGGTTCCTACGGCAACTACCATCGACAACCCGGTCCCGAGGTCACAGACTTTTGTGACGGAACTTCAGGAAGTCCGAGAAAAAGCCGCAGACGCAATTCGTAAGGCGAATATAACTTCCCGAAAATACACCGACCTTCTCCGCCGGGAACTCGTCTTGACCACTGGGCAACTAGTGCTACTTGACACGAAGAACCTGCATCTGCCGGTCCGTCGAAACTACGGCCACGATTTTGTGGGCCATTCAAGATTATCAAGATGGTGACACCTGTCACCGCGAAGCTGCTGCTACCCGACGACTGGCGCATTCATGACGCCTTCCACGTCAGCCTGCTTCGCAAGTTCGTGCCAGCCACGACTGACATCGCGCGGCAACAAGCTGCCCCAACCGCACGACCTGTCCCGGAGCCGACGCTAGCACCTTCAAAAATTCTAGCACACCGGGTTCGTCTTGATGCAGCTGGCCGCCACGTGGACTTCCTCCTCCGATGGACTGACCGCACCAGTGAAGATGACACGTGGGTGCATTCCGATTCCCTAGACGCCTCGTCACTTGTTCGTGATTACTTGGCGCGCAAGGGTGTTTCGAATATTTACCGCCTTTCTTAAGGGGGGGGGTAGTGTAAGGAATTTTCACGAATTCCTTATCGGGGTTGACTGCTACGCGTACAGCCCGATTTTCGGACTTTGCACGTTCGGCCGATTTCAACGCTGCCGAGGCTCCTCGCGTCGCCTTCGGCATTTCCTATCGCCAAACCTGCACCCCAACCTCGCTCGTCCGAGGTTTCCTCCTAGCTAGGCAAACCCCTACATTAGTCTGTGCCTTCATTGTATTCTCAGATCAGTTAATCACTGTCTCGTTATTCGTTTACCTGCGCACTCTCTTTTACAACTCATAACAGTAAAACTCTAGGTGAAGAGATTCCATTATACGTTAAAGAAATGAGTATTGAATAATATTACCGTATGTATTTGTTGGGGTGCATCACACATATTCTCGTAGTATGTTTTTCACCGTAAAAGGATGACATAATGCATTTTCAGATTTGACTCTCAATCTTGGTTCTGAGAATGGAAAAGAACAAATTCTGCAAATTTATGAAGATACGTATAGCCACTGCGTAACCGCTGATTCTGGTGAGCATGTTTTCAGTCGGTGAGCTCAAAGGCGATTCATAGGTGGCTTTCCACCATCATTTGGAATGACAGAAAGGCGGAGGGGACAAAGCCAGGAATCCCCTTTCTCTCCCGCCTTCCATTCCCCCCCTAGATTGTTCCCCTCTTTCCCCACCTTTCCCCTTACCCCACACTTTCCTCCCCGCCCCGTCGTTCCCCGCCCTTCCCCCTCTTCCCTCCCCCGCTCTCCTCCCTTGCCCACCTCGCAATCGCAACCCTAACTCAAATCCGCTCCTCGCTGCTTAGTCTCTCTCTTTCCTTCCCTTCTCTCGCGGAGTGGGACCGAGTAGGGTAACACTTAGCAGCAACATCATTAGCGCGCACCCATCCCGCACTAGCACACCCAGCAGCAGCCATGGCGACAGCAGCGGCTCGTCCGCTCGTGACAGTTCAGCCCTACGACGAGGCCGGCGCGCCGCAGCAGGCGGCGCTCCCCGCGGTGTTCCTCGCGCCGATCCGCAGCGATGTCGTTAAGTTCGTGCACGCGATGGTTTCGATGAACAAGCGCCAGCCGTACGCCGTCAGCACCAAGGCCGGCCACCAGACGTCCGCCGAGTCCTGGGGTACCGGTCGCGCCGTGTCGCGTATTCCCCGCGTTCCCGGCGGCGGTACGCACCGTGCGGGACAAGGAGCCTTCGGTAACATGTGCCGCGGCGGTCACCTGTTCGCGCCGCTCCGCATCTGGCGCCGCTGGCACCGCAAGGTGGATATTCTGACTCTTTCCTCGCTATAGCAGAAGTTCCGATACAGTTAGGGGAGAGAACATGTAGTTAGTTAAGTGGTGCCTACATTAGGATCGCGAGCTAGTGAGGCATGCGAATTCCTCAAGTACAGGACCGTTTTCCTCTCCGCGCGATTACAGGCTTGCGATCGCGCCAGGCTTTTGGAGCTACGAGTATCTGAAACCCGGGTGTCAGGGCTAGGTGTAGATTGCACGGATTCCCACGATGTTCGCAGGAGCTGGTTCTTCCTCACGCACGAAGCAGGTCTGTTGACGCGGTATAAGCAATGTTGAAAATCCTTTTTGCGCGTAGCTACATCTAGCCCTGGGAGATCGATCCTTTGGGGAGGTTGACCGCGCTCGGTCTTCGCTGCGTCATGGGCGCATGAAATCAAGCAGGAGGATCGAGATTTCGGTCCGGAGTGTTCTCTCGTGGCTAGGCTCAGTCTCTCCCCTGCGGCTTTCCTCCTCCTCACAGAATGCGCGCTGTGTTCATGGCGAGAGTCGTCACACGCCGTTCCGAGCTGTCGTCTAGCTTGGCCCAAAGCATGCCCTTATCTTTAGTGTCCGATTTAGTAAGGTCGCTTCTAAATGGTCGATGTCCATGCGACCAACGCGTTGGTTGCACTGACATCGGTCGTCAGCACGGTAGCGTGAGGTGTCGACCTGCGTGTTCATGCCCTTTGCTAGCATTTTCCGTCAGGTCGGCAGAATAATATGGAAGGAGAATTCGTTGGCCCAAGCAAGTTGCAAGGTTCTCGTCGAGCAGTTTCTCAATCAAAACAATGCCTATACCAACGTTTTCATCTAGAAGGTCGACACGCCTCAACATTCGCAACCCCCTTTCCCGTCCCCCCGCTACCCCCCTCTCCCCCCGCTACCCCCCTCTCCCCCCGCTCCCCCCGCTTCCCCCACTCTCCCCTTTCTCCCGTGCCCCCGCAGGTCCCCATCAAGATGCGCCGCCATGCGGTCGCCTCCGCCATTGCCGCTTCCGCCGTGCCCGCGCTCGTCCAGGCGCACGGCCACGCCGTCAGCAAGGTACGCAGTGACGTCAGCAAGGTAACACGCTCTGACGTCAGCAGTTAAGTACGAACTTGCGTTTTTCCTCCCTTCCCCCTCATTTCTCCATCTCCCCCTGTCCCACCATTTCCCGCTCGTTTCCCCTTGTCCCCCCGCTCCCCCATGCCCGCTCTCTCTCCCTCCCCTCTGTCCCCGTTCCCCCCCTGCTCCCCATATCTGTTCCCCCTTCCTTCCCCCTTTTCCCTCTGTACTTCCGTCATTCACCCTCAACGAGATCGAGGCTGTGGAAAAGACCTCTTCCGCGCTCCTCAACCCTCTATCCTCCCCCTCTGTCCTCCTGTCCCCTCTGTCCCCTCCACTCTCCCCGCTCCTCCTCCCCCACCATGCCCCCCCCCGCTCCCCCGCAGGCGCCGGAGCTGCCGCTGGTGGTGGGCAACGAGATCGAGGCGGTCGAGAAGACCTCGTCGGCGCTCAAGGCGCTGAAGCGCATCGGCGCGTACGATGACGTGGCGAAGGTGATTTCGAGCAAGAAGATCCGGCCCGGCAAGGGCAAGATGCGCAACCGGCGGTACCTGAGCAAGAAGGGCCCGCTCATCGTGTACGGCACCGACGGCGCCAAGCTCACCAAGGCCTTCCGCAACATCCCCGGCGTGCAGGTGCGCGGAAGAGTGGGGGAGCGCAAGATGGGTGAGCGCTAGGGCGGATGGGGGAGAGGGGAGAGAAGATTGGCCCGGGAGGGGCTGTAGGGTTTGGGGCCTTTTCAAAGCGAGCGGTTGAGAGCAAGACGGGTGAGAGCAGGAACGGTGAGAGCAAGAGCAGTTGAGGGGGAGACGATCCGGCCCGGCAAGGTCAAGATGCGCATTCGGCGGTACCTCAGCAGGAAGTGCCCGCTCGTCGTGTGCGCCCCACGGCGCCAAGCTCACCAACGCCTTCCGCAACATCCCCGGCGTGCAGGTGCGCGCGAATGCGAGTGAGAGCAGGAGCGGGTGAGCGCCAGATTAGGTGAGCACTAGAGCAGTTGCGAATTAGAAGATTCGTCGGAGGAGGGGCAAGAAGTGCCCTCCTACCCTCTCTTCCCCTCCTCCCCTTCTACCCTCCTCTCTCTCCCTCCTACCCTCCTACCCGCGTACCCTCCTTCCCTCCTACCCCCTACCCCTCCCCTTCCTTCTCTCCTTCCCTTTCCGCCTCCCCTCTTCTCCTCGCCTCCTCTCCCCCGCTTCCCTCCACTCCTCACCCCGCCGCCCTCCCTTTCCCCTCCCCCCCAATGTAACCAGGTGGTGGCGGTCGAGAAGCTCAGCGTGCTCGACCTGGCCCCCGGCGGCCGTGTCGGGCGCTTCGTCATCTGGACGCAGAGCGCGTTCGACAAGCTCGAGGGGCTGTTCGGGTCGTTCTCGCAGGCGCCCACCATGAAGCGCGACTTCCTGCTGCCGCGCGCCGCCATCGTCAACTCGGACATCACGCGCATCATCAACAGCGACGAAGTGCAGGTGAGCTGAGGGGAGGGGAGGGGAAAAGCTAGGGGCAAGGGGGGGGTTACTTGCGAGGGGGGTTAGGGGCTACTCGGGTCGTCGTCAATAGGGGGGGGTTACTTTGATATTGCGCGCATCATCAACAGTGACGAAGTGCAGGTGGGCAGAGGGGGAGGGGAAGGAAGATGATGCCTTGCTTACCAGCGTGTTCGCCACGCCACTTCAGACTCGCTAGTCTCCTTTTTGCCCCCTTCAACCGATGAAACACTTTCTGACGTGCCCTATGAAGATTACTATGAAACACTTCATTGAAAATTACTTGCATTGTATACACCCCTCCCTCCACCCACCCCCGCAAGCCACCCTTCCCGTGCCCCGCTCTCCCCGCGCCCCACTCTCCCCGCCCCGCTCTCCCCGCGCCCCCCTCTCCCCGCCCCACTCTCCCCGCGCCCCCCTCTCCCCGCCCCCCCCTCTCCCCGCGCCCCCCTCTCCCCGCGCCCAACTCTCCCCCGCCCCACTTTCCCGCGCCCCACTCTCCCCACGCCGCACTCTCCCCGCGCCTCACACCCTCCCTCCCTCAGTGTGTGTCGGTTAAAAGAAGTTGGCCCCGAAGCCGCTAAACCCATCCACTTGATACCCACCACTTCACCGTTTTTAAACCCTCGTCTTCCCTCCACCTCTCCCATCTCTATTCCCTACAACCCCCAACCCCCTCTACACCCCGCACTCCCCTCCCCTCCCTCCCAGAGTGTGTGCTGGCCAAAGAGGGCGGCGCCGAAGCCGCTGCACCGCCTGAAGCGCAACCCGCTGCTCCCACGTCCCTTGCAACTCTCACCACTGTGAACTAGCACCTCTGTTCGCCAGTGACCGTGGCTCTAACACTGCCTTTTCCCGGTGTGCCCTCCTCTCCGCCCCTGGCCTCCCTCCCCTCCCCCCTCCCCTCGCCCCCCTCCCCTCCCGTCCCCCTGCAGAGTGTGTGCCGGCCGAAGAGGGCGGCGCCGAAGCCGCTGCACCGCCTGAAGCGCAACCCGCTGAAGAACCGCACGGCCATGGCGGTGCTCAACCCCTTCGCCGCGGAGAAGCGCAAGCAGGCCGCCGAGGCTGCCGCCCAGCCCAAGGCCAAGAAGGCCCGCGAGGTGCGTGCTGACTCTGTTGACTCTGGTTGAGTTGGATTGACTTTGGTTGACTTGGGTTGACTTTGGTTGACTTAGGTTGATTGGGCTGACTTGGTTGGATGACTTGGTTGGCTGGGTTGATGGGGTTACTTGGTTGACTGGGTTGCTGGGGTTGGCTCGGCTGACGTGGTTGACTTGTGTTGACTATGTTCACTTTGGGTTGACTGGGTTGAGTTGACTGGGTCAACAGGTGGATTGGGTTGATATGAAATGAATTGTAGCAATGGCCATGGATGTGCACGAGCAGCCGTTATTGGCTGAGGAGAATTGATACTCAGGCTGCTTCTGCAGCTGGCCTACCTTGCAGAGAGAGAGAGAGTTAAGGGCAAGATGCTGCAGGAGAGAGTGACATCTGGCCTGTTCTCATCCCGCCTTGCACCCATCAACCTTCATGTCCTTCTGCCCCGTCCCTTTCCGGCTCATTTCCTGCTTGTTGTATGCATGTGTCGGTGTTTTTGTTTCGTCTGATCCGTTATCCTATTGCTTCGGCGTTGGTATGTGTGTGCGTGTGTGTGTGTGTGTGTGTGTGTGTGTGTGTGTGTGTGTGTGTGGGTGTGAGTGTGTGAGCAGACGGAGGAGGCCAAGAAGGCAGGAGAGTCGTGGTACCAGACCATGATGTCAGACTCGGATTACCTCGAATTCGAAAACTTCACCAAGTGGCTCGGCGTGTCTGAGTGAAGTGTTTAGTACAGTATTGCCAACTGAAATGTGATGTGGATGAGGAGTGTGTGTTTTTCTTTTCTGTATCGTTCACTAGGAAGGATAGGGCTGGGCAAGAAGAGCTTTTCCTGGCAAGTGATGATGGGCTGGAAGTCAAGTTTAATACTTGTTTTCTGTGTGAATGTAAGTCTAGATGTAGTGATGCAAAATAGTCTAGTGGGGATTCACGAAAAGGAAAAGAATACAGATGAGGCTAGTCTGCGTTTTCTATGTATGGGACTTCTTCCGTAAGACTACACTCTACAGCGCATCTCCTCGATAGTGTGTGCGTTGTCAACAAAGGATGTGCTTTTGCGCCCGGGACATGGTAAAGCGAGTCTGTCGCACCGCGAGCTGCGTGTTGTTCGCTCCACACGCCTTCTCCAGAGAATGGCAGCCCTTACGAGGCTCTCAGGCGGCTCGATCGCCGCCAACTTGCTGCAAGGCCGCAGCCAGCGCGATCGCCGGTCGCTTTCCGCTAACCGCGATCCGTCGTCGTTGTCGCTGACAGGCGGAGCAGCGCACGCTCGGATCTCCAGGTTAGAAAATCCCCAACGAGATTACTTTTTGCTCGTAGGACCAAGCAAGCAAGCAGCCGCGGCCATAAGCATAATAGGCACGCACCACTGCCATTTTGGTCACACTTCAGGCACGGAGTTATTTTTTAACATTGTTTGGTGGGTGACCGTGCGAATCCGCGAGATCCAATTTTAGCATTATCCGATCGTGCGAGAAGCTAGCTAGAAAGCGAGGATCTCCCTGCCGTGCGCGTTCTGTCGCCTTAGCGATCGCCTCTAGTCGCACGGCCCTCGACATATCTGGTTGTATCCCTCGGCCTCAGTACGTTACTAGCCATCTTCTTGTGATGAGTCGATTTTTTCGTCGACTCAAAAATCGACTCAAAAGTCGACTCATCACATCGCCTCTAGTCGCGTGTCCCTCGACATATCTGGCTGGCTGTATCCTGGCTGGCCCCAGTACGCTACTAGCCATCTTCTCCCTCGTTCCTGGTTTTGTCAGTCTAGTCAACGACCGACTCAAACGTCTTTTCCAGCGTTGCCCTTGCTGAAACGTTGCCGTTGCTGAAAGTGCAGGCGGACCCGCCTTCCTGTTTCCTTCCCTCGAGCTACCCTTCCCGGTGGTGCCTCTGTGTTTTGAGTCCACTCGAAACGAAACGCGCCGCTTCTGTTGCCTTTTGAGGCGTCTCAAAAGTGTCTCTTCCCTCCTTTGATACGCTGATTCTGAATCTGCAGGCGGACCCGCCTTCGTGTTCCCTTCTTTCTAACCACCCGACCCGCTGCTGCCTCTGCCGCGGCCTCTGCTGCCGCCGCTGCTGCGCCGGTCAACGAATCTGTGACTATGGAGGGAGTGACAATGCGCGTCCCGCCTCCCCCGCATCCCACGTGTGACGTCATGATGGCCGTGAAAGCCGCTCTGGATGAAGACGCGGGCGATCTCGGTGCGTGGGGGACAGGAGAGCGTATGAGGGGCGAGTGCAGGAGTGACAGGAGTGTGTGCGTGAAATATCCTCCCAGATATCTCTTTTTGCGAGCGCAGTCCATCTTCCCCTTGTGATGTGTGGCACACTGTCATGATGGCCGTGAAAGCCGCTCTCGACGAAGACGCCGGCGATCTCGGTGCGTGGGGGACAGGAACGCGTACTAGGGAGGGCGAGTGCGTGATTGAAAGGAGTGCGTGAGTGAATGCCCTCCCGAGTAATTCTTCCTGCGAGCGCAGACAATCTTTCACTTGAAATTTCGGACACACGTGTGACGTCACTTCTTTCCGTGCCAATCTCATCCACCCCTATCTCTCCAGGGGACGTCACGAGTCTGGCGACCATCCCAGCAGGCACACAAGCGAGCGCACAAGCATACCCTGCTGTCTCTTCTCCCCCTCTTTCCCCCCCCAATTCCCCCATCCTCCCTCCCTCTCCCCCGCTCTCATCCCGCCAGGGGACGTCACGAGCCTGGCGACCATCCCAGCGGGCACACAAGCGAGCGCGCAGTTCCTGGCGAAGGAGGGCGGTGTGCTGGCCGGCACTGCGCTCGCCACGGCTGTGTTCCGACTGCTTGAGCCGAGCATTCAGGTGCGAGAGGGCGAGGGGTTGGGGTTGAGGTGGGGCGGGGCTCCGCATTCAGGTGAGCGCGCAGGTCCTGGCCAAGGAAGGGGGCGTGCTGGCCTGGCCGGCACTGCGCTGCCCACGGCCGTGTTCCGACTGCTGGAGCCGACCGAGCATTCAGGTGCGCGCGGCGCGGCGAGATGAAAGTAGGGAGATGGGCCGAGGCAGGCAGAGTATCTAGGGAGGGAGGCACACGCGTGGGCTTGAGTGGGTTCGACTGCTGGCGATCACTGCACTCGCACTCGCCACTGCTGTGGATCACTCCAGCAGTTGGAACACAGGTGAGCTGATGACTGCTCTGCTGCACGCTGCTGGCAGCCGAGCATTCAGGCGAGCGAGGCGAGGGGACGGGGAGGGGAGAGATGCGACGGGACTGGGCAGGGATACATGCGAGGCAAAGGGTTGTGGTGAAGTGAGGGAGAGGGCGTGAGGTGAGGCGAGGTAATGGGTTGAGGGAACACGTCTTGGGAATGTACGACCCTGGGCTGGGCTTTCCCTCAACCCATTACCTCGCCCCACTGTGAATTTGCTCCTTCCTGGGCAAGGAGGGTGCGGTAATGGCAGCTGTGGCTTCATGCTGGCTGACTTGGGATGGCTGGACGGACCGGTGATTGGGGTGCGAGAGATGAGGGCTGGGAGGAGCTATACTCCGGTTATAATCGATTGTGCAGTGGATGGGCAAGTGCGGATGGATGGTGTAGTGGATTTGGGATGCATATGGCCATGGATTTTGGATTTAGGACTGATTTTGCATGGGTCTGTCTGTGCATCGACATGTCGACAGCGTGACATGCATTTTCCATGTCGACATGTCATACATTCAGTGCTATCTGCATGTTCACTGCGGATGTTATCATGTTACCTTACCTGCATGCTGCGTGCTGGTCTGCCGCTGCTGCACGGCATGGTGCATGGTGCACGGCATGGTGCATGGTGCATGGCATGGTGCATGGTGCACGGCGTGCATGGTGCATGGTGCATGGGAGCAGGTGGAGTGGAGCAAGGAGGATGGCGACACGGTGGAGAAGGGCGAGGTGTTTGCCACGGTGCACGGCTCCGCGCATGCCATCCTGCAGGGCGAGCGCGTGGCTCTCAACTTCATGCAGCGCATGAGCGGCATCGCCACGTCCACCAGGGTGAGTCAGCATTGCCACGTCCTCCAGGGTGAGTCAGCACTGTTACAGGCTGGGTCAGCAGAGGGAAGGGCCGAGTCAGCACAGGAAGGCCTGGGATAGAGAACAGTTAAGCGGCTGAGTGGGTGGGTAGTGGGTAAGTAGTGAGTGGGTTCATTGGATGGGCGGATAGAGTGACGCGACCCACATTTTGAATGCTGTGTCAGGTAACAAGGTAACATGGTAACATGGTAACATGGTGACATGGTGACATGGTGACATGGTGACATGGTAACATGGTAACATGGTGGTGACATGGTGACATGGTAACATGGTGCACATAGCAACATCCCGTCCCTCCCATTTCCCTCTCCTCCACCCCTCCCCCACATTTCCTGCCATCCTCTACCCGCCCTTCCCCTATTCTCTCCCTGCCCTTCCCCATTCCATCTTCCCCCCGCTCCCCTCCCCCCTCCCCTTTTCGCCCCACATGCCAGGCCATGGTGGAGGCAGCCCGCCCTGCCACTGTGCTAGAGACACGCAAGACCGCCCCGGGACTCAGAATCACAGACAAGTGGGCGGTGAGTGTTGTCTTGTAGCGCACTTGCAAGCCTGTGAATCTCTCTATCTGTCAACCTGTTGATGAGAGGTGGCCACAAGAGTGTGTTAGAGGGAGGGGGACTGACATAGTGGCTTGACAAGGAGGCGTTTTGGGCATTGTCAAGAAACGCCCGCAATAAGAAGGGTATGGAGTGGCTTGACTAGGAGAAGTGTAGGGGCCAGGGGTCTGACCCTGAAAATCGTGTGGGGGAAGTTGAGTGGCATGGAAAAGCAGGATTTCAGCCACCGGAAATAACTTTTGAGGCGCCTCAAAAATTTCAGCCACCGGAAATATATCTCCCGTACGCCAAGAGCGCTAAGTGAAAGCAAATGCGGACTTACTCTCTTGCCTCTCACAAGTGACAAGCGGTGATCGGCGGGAGGCAGAGCCACCATGTGGGCTGTATGACATGCTGCTGGCCTTTGAACCAACTCAACACTCGTCCCTATATATATCACGCTGCTCTCTGTCTGTCCCGGATGCCAATAGGCCGGGGGCGCAACCACGGGGTGGGGCTGTCTGTACAGCCTACCACTTGTTCTGTGAAATGGCTCAGGCGGCGTCGCTACCCTACCACCCTCTGTCTGTGTCCCAGGTGCTGATCGGAGGGGGGCAGAACCACCGAGTGGGGCTGTACGACATGCTGCTGGTGAAGGACAACCACATCGCTGCTGCCGGCGGTGTGCCCGCCGCCATCAACACTGCCAGAGAGTACATCCGAGCCAACAGCCTGGATCTCCCGGTGGAGGTGAGTGAGAGGTGCTGAGGCGCGAACAGTGGGACGTGGGAACCTCTCGCAAGCTTCGCAAGGTCTTGCAAGTGGGATGTGTGATCATCTCCTGTGTAACCCCCCTTCCCCCTTCCCCCCTTCCCGTTCCCCCTCCCCCTCTTCCCTGCCCGTACTTCCCATTCCAGGTGGAAGCCCGCACGCTGGATGAGCTGCAGGAGGTGCTGCGGTGCCGCGGGGAGGGAGTGGGGCGGGTGACGCAGGTGATGCTGGACAATATGGTGGTGCTGCGGCCAGGGGGAGGGGCTGGCGGAGAGGCAGTGCACCATGGCTGCGCAGCCAGTTCATGCCCTCCATCCTCATCTTTACCTATTACCCGCTCACCCTCCCCACCCACACTTCCCCCCACACCACCCCTCCCTCACTCTCCCCCTCTCTCTCCCCTGCCCTGCACCCACCGCTGCAGGTGGAAGCCCGCACACTGGATGAGCTCCAGGAAGTGCTGAGGTGCCGTGGGGAGGGCGTGGGGCGGGTGACACGGGTGATGCTGGACAACATGGTGGTGCTGCGACGAGGGGGAGGGGACGGTGGACAGGGAGTGCACGTGGATGTGTCCATGCTGCAGCAGGCAGTGAGCATGGTCAACGGACAGCTGGAGACCGAGGTAGGATGGCTGGAAGATTGGGGAAAAGGGGCTTGAAAAGTGGGTGTGTGGAGGCGCAGTGCACATGGATGTGTTTATGCTGTGCTGCAGGCAGTGATCATTGGGGGGGGTAGCTGGAGAAGGGGGTAGGATGAGAGGAAGATTGCGGGAAATGGTGGGATTGTGGCAGCAGGCAGTGAACATGGTGAACAAACAGCTGGAGACGGAGGTACGATGACTGGAGGATTGGGAGGGCGGGAAATGTGGGTGCATGTTTGTGGAGATTTAGGTGGTGTGGATGTTAACGCTTATTGCCTTTCTGTTGTTGTTTCTTCTGCAGGCATCGGGCAATGTGACCTTAGATACTGTCGGTGCTATTGCTGCAACCGGTGTTGATTTCATTTCGAGGTTAGTTTTATGGTTTTCCTGTCTGCGTGTTTGCCTGCTGGTGGTCTTTTTAGTTTTGTTTATTGTGCATGTTCTTACACTACCTTGTGCTTCTTGTGCTGTGCATGCAGTGGTGCTTTGACCCATTCTGTAAAAGCGTTGGATATCTCGCTCAACATTGACACAGAGCTTGCACTAGATGTTGGTAGGAGGACAAATCGTGCTTAGCCAAAGGCCAAAGAAAGGCGGACACCATATAGGCTTCTCATTTCTGATGTATGTTGTGCAACCTCTTATATATGAAGTAGCAAAAGCCATCGAGTCAAAGCTGTGCAATATCGAAGGTATCCATATCGGCAATTCCCGCGGTAGCCGTTGAAAAAGCCGCGTGAGCTTTTCGTCAGCCGAGCTGGAATTTTCGCGGACATGTCAAGCTAGCCCCAACCTCCGCCAGGCACAACCCAAAAGCGCTGGAAGCTGGGTGAGAGTTGGTGGAGCTCGGTCCGCTGGTATTGCACCTTGCGCTTGCTTGTTTTCCCTTGCACGCTCTGCTAGATTTCCCATCCCACCTCTCCTGGCAGCACTCCAATTCAAACCGGCCAAGTACAGTGCATTTTGCAAACATGAGCAGCAATCCTTCCTTTCCATGGAGGTCTAGAGACCATGCATGTGTCGGCGCTGATGCTTGCTCAATTTGATTGAGGAGATTGGCTAGCCCTTAGTAGGAAAACGTCATTTGTTGCTAGGTGCGTCGTTGGTTGCTAGCTGCCTGTCAGATGGCGAAAAGGTCTAAGGAAGACGCAGTTTACAATGGCGAAGTGCGTCCCCTTTTGGATGACCAAGCCGTTTCTTCGTCTCAGTATGGTTCAGTAGTCCCTCCTGGTCTTGATTCCAATGACGACCCGGGCCCGAAGGAAGCTTTAGCACGATGCCTTTCCAAGCCGATTCAACACGAAAGCTTAGATTATGAGTGAGTGGGACCCTTTGCGCTTCTCTCATCGTTTAGAGACGATTTCATGGATACGAAGTGACTTAGCTTTCCCTTCACGTTCTCTTTCAGGGTCCTTGAGTCTGCAATTCACGACGAGGACTGGCGCTCAAGAACGCGCGTAGAGCACCTTCAGTACACATTGCTCAAATGGCTCTTTGTCTTGCTCGTTGGCGCTGCTACGGGAGCTGTCGCCTTTTTCATAAACATGGGTGTCGAAAACATCGCAGGCTTCAAGTATCAGATGGTCCGTAAATACATGAAGACCGAAAGGTGAGCCTCGATTGTGCTGTCAATGACTACGTTAGTCCATCGACTCCGATGCTACTACTACCAATACGGCCTTACTCTATCCCCTTCTTCAGTTTGCTTGCAGGCTTTTTTATCCTAGTGTGTTCCGACGTCTCTCTCGTCCTCTTCTCGTCGGTTCTCTGTAATTTAATTTCAATGGAAGCTGCCGGCTCTGGTATCCCGGACGTCAAAGCGTATCTCAACGGAGTAGATGCTCCAAGAATATTTGCAGCCAAGACACTGTTTGTCAAGGTACTGAATTTTCTTATCATTTGAATCGTTATCATAAGAGAGTGGCTTTTAATGCCTGGTATTGTCTTGCTACTCGCAGATCTTCGGAAGTATAGGCTCTATCGCTGGTGGTCTTGCTGTGGGAAAGGAAGGTCCGCTTGTTCACACAGGGGCGTGTATCGCAAACGTTCTTGGTCAAGGTGGCTCCCGGAAGTACCATCTTACATGGAAATGGTTGCGGTACTTCAAGAATGACAGGGACCGGAGGGATTTGGTGACATGTGGTGCTGCCGCAGGTGTTGCTGGTGCCTTTAGAGCTCCTGTGGGTGGTGTGCTCTTTGCCCTGGAAGAAGCAACCTCTTGGTCAGTGAAGTTGCTTTTGGTCACTGTCTTGATTTGCTGAAGAAAGCCTCATTGGAGCGTTCGTTGTTGCTTTGCTGTGCAGGTGGCGAAGTGCTCTTCTCTGGCGAGTTTTTTTCACAAATGCCGTTGTGGCCATGGTCGTCCGTGCTCTTATGACCTATTGTGCCAATGGACACTGTGGGCTTTACAATGGGGGAGGGTTTATCATATTTGATCATACAGAGGCGAAAACGGAGTTTGGAGTGGTGGAAATGTTTCCAGTCATTGGGTTGGGAATCATTGGAGGAATTGCAGGGAGCATCTTTAACCAGCTTAACCTCTCTCTATGCAAGTTGAGACAGCAAGGAAGCAGGTAAAATGGTTGCACCATCATCAAGTTTCTCTCGCTGTGGGCTTGATTGTTGATTTTGTCGTCTCCTGCTGCATTTATATTTCGGATTGTTTTTTATGGTTTCAGGCGTGGAGTGTGGAAAATTGTGGAGGCATGTGCAGTGGCAGCATTGACATCTGCGGTTCGATTCTCCGTGCCATTTCTGGTCAAGTGTCAGCAATGCCCGGATGGGATTGAATGCCCCAGCAAGACAGAGATGGGGTACTACAAGAGCTTCACTTGTCCCCCGGGCCACTACAACGACATGGCTGGCCTGCTGTTTACACCCAACGATGATTCCATTCGAAGCCTTCTCAGCAGCGGAACCCATCATGCATTCTCGTGAGCAACCATCTACCTGACTACACATCTCGACTCAACACTTCACCTCACACTTCACTCTTCACCCTACATTGCTTTAATATGGGTTTTTTACGGTTTGGTGCCATGTCCTGCAGGTTCACCTCACTCGGCATTTATTTCTGCTGCTTCTACTTCTTGTCCATCCTCACATATGGCATCACTGTGCCATCGGGCCTTTTTGTGCCTGCAATTGTCTGTGGCGCAACTTACGGCCGCGTGGTTGGAAGAATCATGTCCAACTATGCACCAGCAGACAACCTGGATGAGGGGACTTATGCACTTATTGGCACAGCATCTTTCCTGGGAGGGTCCATGAGGACAACTGTGTCTCTCTGTGTGATTCTCCTGGAGTTGACTGGAAGCTTAAAACTGCTTCCACTCATCATGATTGTGCTGCTGGTTTCGAAGACGGTCGGTGACATGTTCAACAGCGGGATTTATGATGCACACAACCAGCTGAAGGGGATCCCTTACCTGGAGGCTCATCCTGAGGAGGCCATGCGGCATTACACTGCCAAGGACATTCTCGTCTCCGAGCCAGTGAAGTTTTCAGGTGTGGAGAGTGTGGAGCGGATCTACGATACACTTCGCACCACAAACCACAACTCTTTCCCGGTCATTGACACCCATGAAGATGGCTCAACATCCTTCTACGGACTTGTCTTGAGAGGTCATCTCTTGGTGCTCTTACGGTCAAAGCAGAGCTTTCTGCTCCATCCGCATCAAGTGTCTGAAACTGTCCAGAAGCACCTTGCAGCAGAGGATTTTGGTAAGCCAGGATCAGGGAAGGGGCTGAAGCTGGAGGACATTCAACTGAGTGAAGAGGAACAAAAAATGTTCCTAGACCTGCATCCTCTAGCCAACAGATCTCCATACATTGTGCCTGAGAGCATGTCTCTCAACAAGGCATACATGCTCTTCAGACAGCTGGGCCTTCGTCATCTTTGTGTGGTTCCCAAGCCGACTCATGTTCTGGGCATCATAACCCGCAAGGATCTGCTGCCTCAGAATTTCAGTGAGCGGAATGTGTCTCAGACTTCATTAGTTTAGGAGTGTATTTTTCTCATTTATCCACTCAATTAACAAACCGCTGCTTAGGGGACATAACAAGGGTGCAAGGGCACCAGGAAAGGGACATACCACTTTCCACCCTATATGCTGACCTTGGTGATGGAAAAAGCAAAAAATTAGAAGCCCTCGCAGCCGGTGTCAACACCGAATGGGCAAATTTATGCAGACCACAGGGTCAGTCAGGTCAGGAGGTCTCCGTACATTTTCTTTGAATTGAAAGGGAGCCCTGTCTTGGACCTGGGAATAGCTATTGGGCTTTTCAGTTTGGGCTTATTCATGTGGCGCAAGGTAGCTTGGTCTTCTGTGGCGCTGCTCCTTTCTTTTCTGTGAAATTGTTTCTGCTCCGTTCTTTTCTGTGAGATTGTTTTTACCATAGTGGTCACTCCAACAAGCCTCAGGACACGAGGAGTTGCGTGACGACTACTTGCTGAATTGCCGCCTTGTCCTTGCCATTCTGCTTGCCGCAATGACGTCACGTCACGAAATGCAGTGAGATGTCCATAGATCAGTGACCCGCGGATATAGTACTCCGTTCTGCGCGGGTCTGATAGTCGCCCACGTAACGGATGTTATATACGTTACCTGCCTATTGTCTCAGGCAACTCGACATGGAGGGACCACTGGTAGCACCCTTTGGACACGCCTGGCAGCACCCTTTGGACACGCCTGGCAGGTTCTTCCATCGCCGACGTTCTGTCCAATGCGCATAGCCGCTATCTCTCCTCGTGACAAGTGCCGGGTGGGAACCCTCCGCTCTACAATATGCGATTAAAAAACAACGCGGATCTGAGTTGGACAAATTCCGTACGTGCAAGGCAAAATAATGCCTTCTACGAGAGGATCAGGCCGTGCGAAACACTTCGGCCATCCAGTCAACCCCGAAACTTCAGGAGAAATGGCTTTTCTTTAAAAGTGGAGTGGCGAAACAGCTCGATTCCTGGCCCTGGTCAGCCTATCTTGAGTGAGCCAAACGAAGAGGCTTCTGGCGAAGTACAAGGCCTGAACAAGTGTTCTAGCGAAATATCTGAGCTTTTGAGAACGTCTCGAGGAGCAAAGCTGAGAAACCACCCCGAATCAAGGAAAATGTTACATATGTGAAACTGAGTCCACGGAGACGAAGACGAAAATGTGGAGGAGGAATGTCAAGCCTATCGTGCAAAAGCGGTTCTGCTTGAGAGCTTCAGAGTGGAAGAATCCAGTACAATACACTCGTGTGACCATCGGCGCATGCGTAGTTTTTGGAACAGAAGAAAGCCTCCTTCCAGGTCTCGTGCAGCTCCACCACCCCGGAGCAATCAGTTCCCAGATTTCTAGGCCATTTCCTCGTTTGTGAATTTCTCCTTTCGGCGCGCTTCGCGAAGGAGCTGGGAGACCATGTTGTACATGACGGCCCACCATTTGCTACAAAAAGGACGTAGTGTTTATAAGCAGTGACTGTGTTCGTGCCAGCCGTCTAGCAGCCATCAAGAGCAGATCCCAGAATCTCCTTGGACTTGAACACCTACTGTACAGTGTGCTTTCGCAAAGCTGCTGCTTCGAAGAGCACAGAAAAACTGGACTGCCTTGTCGCATGATGCACGAACCGAGCAGATGGTCAGAAGCAGAGCAACTGGACAAGGAGTGCACGGACCACGGCGTCGCTTCTTCTCGGACAAGAAAGAGACCCTCTTCTCCTCCTTGGACATCGTGCTCCTGATGACTGCGTGATGGACGGACGGTCTTTAGGAGGTTCGGAAGGAGGGGCCTGGCTTGGCGGGGAGGAAGGGGCCTGGCTCGGAGGGACTGCATGGGGTCTCAGGCACTTGAAATCATAACCACAGCTATGTTAGACCTACAGATTCCAGTACGAGCAGTATGCCGAAGCAGCTGCTGGCGAAGGTGAGTGCCGGAAAGGCGATGAGAAGGGGGAGGGGGAATGAGGGAGCGGGGGAGGGGAGGGACTCTGAAAAAAGGTACGGGGAGGGAGAGGGTGGGGGGAGGGTTGTTCCATGAATGACATGACCCATCCCATCCCATGGCGAGGGATCTGCCCCTCATTCTACACGTCCTCTTTTTCTTCGCGTTTGTGGTCGTCCTTGGTTCCACCAGCTGGCCGTGATGGTGGCAATGACAACAAGCACGTGAGCAGTACTGCCAAGCTGGCATCTTAGTTCACAATCCTGCCCTTCAGCAGTGCACGTTCGTCCCACCTCATGATTCGACGAAAACCTTACCGAGATTGCGGCCCAGGCATAGAAAAGTGCAATTTGACATTTGGTTTCGTCGGTTGTATCTTCCGCCTCTACAATTATTGAAACGTGCAGGGTCACGTGAAGACTGCCCCAGTTAAAAAAAAACAACGTGCAATGAGCAGTTCAACTCCCGCTGGAAATCAGCCTCTTTCGACGTAAACGATCCTGTACACATCCCTTAAAAAGTTTTTTGACGGCTGTGCGGTCAATCAATGTTGGAACAGCTTGTTTTTTCCGATCTTCTTGGAAGATTGTTTACAGAAGAGGCAGATTTTGGTACAGTTCCGAGATGGTCAAACCAACAGACGCTGACCAATGGAAAAAAATATTTGGTTGTACACAGCGAAGCACAGCCAAACCCAACAATGATTGAGGGCGTGGGCCCAATCGAATTTGATCGCCTCGATCAGAAGCGATAAACAACTTCGAGGAAGCCTGAAAGCCAATTTCAGGCAATCGGGGGCAATCAGCTTATCGCGATCAGCTGATCGCCCCAACTCAATCACACCCGATTTTCACCCCGATCAAACTCGATTTTGCTCAATCACCCTCGATCAGTTGATTGCATGTGATCGAGGGCCATAACGATGGTTGCGAGATGTTACACTGTTATTTTAGCCTCGTGAACCTCTCGCTCATGCACGGTACACGGCGAGAACTCTACAGGGGTTGACGTTACAGGGAAACAAATTCGTTCGCTAGGTCACGTTCAGTCGCCAATCTCGCGTGAGCTGGATAAGAATTTCCGCGTAATGTTCTTGCTCTTGCTGAGCAGCAGCTTCAAAAATTCGACGAAAAACATTGCTGATCGGGCGGCTCGAGAAAAGTGATCACAAGCAATCCGATCCGATCAGATCACAGCCGATCAGACCCGATTGGGCCCACGTCCTGAGGGTGTACTCGACCTGCCCTTCCATCAGTTTGGAGGTCTCGGAATGCACGGCTTGTTTCAAAACCCAATACGTCGGTGTCCAAGCTCAGTCCGAACACTTCTCAGATCCAGACGGCTTAATTGCGAATTTTACATAAACCCCCCTAAGCTGTTTGATGTTACAGACAGCATTTTTGGTTGAAAATGTGAGAGGTTGAGTGGGGATTATGTAAGAACGTCCTAGTACCGCATGTGGATTCGTCGCCGCATGTGCATTTGTCACGACCGTCGCTGATCCATCACGACTGGGGTATGAATCCTGGTACAGTCTGTAAAGTTTTCAAAATATGGGCAACTACCTGTGTAGACCTCGATCTACATGCCACGCTTTCTCCAGCCCCCCTGCCATCATATGTACGAAGAGTCTTGCCATGAATCAGTCGCAAGGGTTTCGCGAATGTCTTTGTGTTCGCAATGCTTCGCATGCGGTGCTTACGAGCGAATTCCTGTCGCCAGCGTTCCACAAGCATGCTCGATATGGAGGACCTTCTGAGACAGCCATAAAGAAGCGTTCTAGCTCAAGCGATGATTAGCTGAAGAGCTCCTCCGAGGCTGTGTCTCAAAGTGCTCAAGCAAATTGCGTTAGGGTCATTCACTTTCCAGCTTTCTTTGACGCTGGTCCACAGCTATTATTTACTGGCATTGCCGTTTTTACACTGACATTGTACCCAATTTGATTCCGCAAAGAGCTCGCTTCTGATTCTTTCGGTCTGAGCTGATTTGCTCACGGGGTTTGCACTCAAGGAACTTCTAAGAAAATCATGGCCACACCAATCTGGCCGTCAGATGAAGGAGACGTAACAATTCAAGGAATCCCTTTGGTAAGAACAAATTCTAGCTATATTCGAGCCATGTCCTTCTCATCTTCATCACCTTTCCGTCCTGTGAATATTCCTTGCGGTTTTCAAGGAGCTTGCTCTTTGTCAATTTACATGAAATTCGGCGATATGTAGCTTCCGTGAGGACCGGAACGTAGCCACATTCATTTTTTCCTTGTTCTTCTGCCTCATACAAATTCTCTTTTCGAATTTACGTAGCCTTAGTGTCGGTGCGCCTCGTGTTGACAACGTCATTCGTTCCTTTCCTCCCTCTAATCATCTCGCATCGCAGTTCGATGACCGAGTGTGGGAAGCATTCGGTGCGGAGGAGCCGGTCGCTCTGCACGACGCTGTACACGGGACGTCTGCTCAGACTACGCATTTGCAGTCTGACAGACACGAGCAGAAAACGCCTAGACCATCCTACGAAAATGCGTTCCCGCGTCCGCAAAATCCCACATTCAGCATGTCGCCGACTGAAAGCGGAAAATCTGAAGTTTTTCTTCCCGGTACCCCGAACGATGCGTCTGCATCTAGAGCCACGGGCTTTACTCAATCTCGCGATCAGCTCCCTCAAGAAATCGACGAATGCGCTCTCACGGGAGCTCCGCAATGCACGGAAGATGCTTTCACGCTAATGGAGCTCAACGACGTGATTGGTGGAAATGTTGCGACTGATGGCGACCACTTGGCTGGCGGGTGCGACGGCGACATGGATGGCGACCTTTTGGAGGGAGACGACGTTTTGGGTGCGTCGTGGGATGCATGCGACCACACCGGCAATCTCGAGGCGATTCTCAGGTGCGACACGGTTTCTTTGTCTCACCGCTCCTCATTTCTGCTAACATTGCACCACATCCCGCTCTTTCATTTCCTGCCTTTCCATTCCAGAGGACGAAGTGAGACCCTTATCGCTCAATTCTATCCTCTTCCATCGTTTCACTTGCTCTTCTCGCGCCGCTCCAGATCGTCGTACCAGACCGCGAGGCACGCCCAATCCGGTTCTGCGACAGGTCATCATCACGTGCAATCCTCCATCGCGGGAATTCTCTCCCACATTCACGCTTCCGCGGCTTCCGCCGGTACGGCGGACGCGGGAAAGCTGCTCTGGGAAGGCCCCGCTGTAACATTCGAAGACAAGCGTCGCCGCGGGGAATTCGAGTATGACGAGCGCCGAGGCGAAGGCGACGGCGAGAACGCGAAATTCGCGAAACTTGCGACGGTTCCAGCTGCGGCTGTTGCGGAGGCGACGGAGGGAGGTAACACGGAGAGGGCTCGCGACACGGTTGAGAAGCTCAGCGTCTCGGGGTTTTCTGTCGGTGCTGACGCGAACTGTGCGAACGCGGGAGGGCTTTGCGATTCAGTGCTTCGGTCGCCGTCGCCTCCGCGCGACAGCATTCCGCAACGCCTGTCGCTCCTGCAGGTGAGGATGATGAGGGTTCCGACGTCGTGGTTTTATCATGTACCCGTGCGCGTGTGGGGGTCGTTGACGTTTTGGTTCAAAAGCGTCGAATAATTATTTTCTTCCAAGGAGCTGACGCTGGGTAATGCTGTGTGCATTGTGCAGGCCACGCGGGATGCTGTGACACGGGTGAAAGTGGAGAACCAGCACATGAAGACGCAGCGATTACAGCAGCAGCAGCAGCAGCAGCAGCAGCAGCAACAACAGCAAGATCAAGAGCAACGGCAGCAAGAAGATCAACAGGAACAGCACCAGCGTCAACAACAACAGCTACAGGATGAGCAGCAACAACAGCAGGGTACGAGCCCTGCATCGTCCTCCTGTACTCGCACCGCTCCCACGTCCTCCCTACCCGCTCTCGCCGCATCGTCTACTGCCGCCGCTACAGCTACCTCTTCTGCCACCACCACCACAGCCACGCGTACCACCAAGATAACAATCATTGCCACTCCTCCCGGCTCCACCCCCACCCCTCCGCGGACCAACCCCGCTCCTGCCCGCCACACCTCCACTCCTCCCAATTCCTCTGGCACTCCCGTTCGAAGCATTCGGCCGCCACCGTTCCGCCGAGTCCCCTCGTCACCCGCCTTCTCCCCCGCTGCTCCCGCCACTACCTCGTTCCCGTCGCCCTCCCATCCCTGCGCCTTCCCACCCGCCCCTCCCACCCATCGCACCATCCCGTACCCCTCTCAACCGGGCCTCCCATTTCCGCCTAGCCCCGCTCCTTTCTTCGCGTCCGCGTCCGCGCTCGCGCCAGCGCTCGCGCCTGCACCCGCGCCATCCGCGCAGCGCGGGCTGCCGGCCTATCCGCGGCTGCCCTTCTTCCCCAACTACCACCAGGCCTCTCCCGCAGCCGCGCTTCCCCTCCCCCCCATGCCCGCGAGCTTCTTAGCTGGCACTGCTGCCGCCACGGCCTCTGCAAGCAGTGCTGCCGCTGCCGGCGCCACTGGTGCTGCTTTTAGCACTGCTGGCGAGGCAGCGGGTGCTGGTGCTGCTGGCGCATCAGCCGCCGCTGCCGCTTTTGGAGAAGTGAATGCTGCAACGAAGATGTTGACTTCTGAGTCGTCTCAAAAGTCGAATGCTGCAACGAAGGTGGTGTCAGCTGGTGCAGTGAGCGCAGCCACCAACGCTCGCACGAGCGCAGCCATGGAGGCATCTTCAGCGATTGCTGCTCGTATGGCTGCCGTAGGCCCAGTGCCTGTTCGCACTCTCATGCCCTTCTCTGGAGGCGCCATGATGCCTGCACCCGCGTTCTTCCCAGGAAGCAGCATGGTTCACCCGTTCCCTCCTGCATTCTTCTACCAATCCAGGCTTCACGCGGCGGCATCAGCTGCTGCGCATGCATCAGCAGCAGCAGCAGCTACGACTGCATCTGCTGCATCTGCACCGACCTCTTGTACTCCTGCCTCTGCTCGTTCTCCCGCTTCTGCCGCTACTGCTGCAGCGGCGGCATTTCCTCCCATGAGAGGAGCGCAGGGATCCGCAGGGGCAGTTGGAAGCACGAAAGGTGCCGTGCACGCCGGTGGGTGGATGAGCAAGCAGATGTGGGTGCGTCAGGCCCAGCAGGGGACTAGCTCGCAGCAGGAGCAGCAACTGCTGGGTCGACAGATGTATCTGTTTCACCGGCAGCAGCAGCTGATGCGCATGCAGCAACAGAGGCAGCAGCAGCAGCAGCAGCAGCAGCAGGAGGATAAGCAGCGGGAGAAGCAGAACGAGGTGGTGGAAGCAGAGCGGCAGGAGAAACCGCAGCCATTGAACCTGCACGGAACGAGCGAGGCGAAGCCACAACCTGTTGTACACGTGAAGGAAGAAGCAGGCCGGGATGACACAACCCACAGCACTGCCGCGGTTGCTGATACAGCTGATACAACAGGTGATGCGTCAGCACCATCTGCAGCTGTTGCCACCACCTCACACGCAGCGTCAAATCCGGCTGAACCTGCTCGTCCTGTCCAGGCCGAGGCCTCACTCCCTCCGTCCCCAGCAGCAGCACCTGCAGCAACGGACTCGAGTGGAAAGCAAATGGAACGTGACTGTAATGAGGGTAAGAGGGCCCGTGAGGCACAGCAGGAGGGGTTGGAGGCAGGTGGAACGGATACAGTTGGACAGGGGCGAAGCAAACGACTCAAGGCTGCAGAGGAGACAGTGAGATCCGAGTCTGAGGAGGGAGAAGCAATGGCGGAGGATGCAGCCATGGTTGAGGCAGCAGTGAAGGTGGAGCAGGATGGGTCTCAGGCGAATAATTCCTCGCTGCAACATGCCGCTTCCTCCGTCGATGGAGCAGCAAGAGTGTCAGCAAGATCGTCAGCAGGAGGAGCAGGGCCAGCAGTTGAAGGAGCTGGTTCAATGGAGTGCGGGGATGCAGGCATGGACGTCGAGTCGGCCACGTTGGGCCAGCTCTACTCTACCATTGCTCAGGTGACTCTCACTCTCTCCTTTGGTGCCTGCACCTTTCTCTGCTTGCCTCTCTCCAGTTTATCGCAGTGCTGCTGGTACGTTTCGTTCATTTGTGATAATACTGCATACCTCGCCTGCTGTCTGAAATGTGATGTTTACTCAATAGATGGTAATTTTACTATTTGCGCTTCGCCTCTGACCGTTTCTTCTGTACACCTCTGTCCCCCCCGTGCTCGCTCCTTCCAGCTCGACGTCACCACCCGTGATTGCATTCGCAGTGCCCTCCTCCGCCTTGCCACCAGCGCTCAAACCCGTGCCATGTCACAATCTGCCGCCACCGGCACCACCTCTGTTCCTGCTTCTCCTGCTGCTTCTGTGCGTGATTGTTCTGCTGCTGGTGGTAACGCTTCTGACACCGCTGTTGCTGCTGCGGCGGCGGCTGCGTCAAGGTCAACCTGTGTTTCTGCTGCGCCTTCTGCTGCGCCTTCCGCTGCGCCTTCTGCTGCGCCTTCCGCTGCGCCTTCTGCTGCGCCTTCCGCTGCGCCTTCTGCTGCGCCTTCTGCTGCGCCTTCTGCTGCGCCTTCTGCTGCGCCTTCTGCTGTGCCTTCTGCTGCGCCTTCTGCTGACGCAGCTGCCAACACCACATCCACATCCACCAATTCACCAAGCCACACTGCTCAAACAGGCCAGGAGGGTTTGAATCCCACTCCCACTGAAAATGCTGCCTCCCCCGTGTCCCCTGTCGCTGCCAGTGAGAAGCAACAGCAACAGCAGCAGGAGAAACAAGATCCCAAACAGCAGCAAGTCGCTTCGCAAGCCCACTCCAACACCCATGTTCCTGACTACAACGCTGTCGACCGTGTGATTGCCAAGCTGCTCTTCATGGCGCCACCCACCCCCACCTCAACCCACTCCTTCCCCGCATCGTCCCCTTCCTCCTCGCACTCCACCCACCCAGCAGCCTCAGCCTCCCACGCTCCATCCCACTCGCACGCAGCCTCAACTCTCCTCGTGCACTCCCACTCCGCCACCTCCCTCACTGCTTCCTTCTGCTCCTCCGCCAACCCCACCTCCATCCCACAATCCGCATCCACGCCTCATGCTCATGCAACCAGCTCGTTGCACCCACCTCCCCTCGCTCCTCCTCCTCCGCCGCCTCCTGCTCTCCGTCACCCCCCACGCACCAGCCCCTCTCCGTCATCGCGAGCAGCGTTCCCTGCGTTGCCTCCCTCCTTTCCGGTTGCGACACATCCACCATTCCACCAGTCCCCACACGGCCCCCATCACCCCGCCATGTTCCCTCTCACCGCCTGCTTCCTCCCCTGCTGCTCCGCTCCAGATGCCTGCTCCTACCCTCAGCACCACAACCCCTCCCATCCATCCTCACTCCATCCGTACTCCACACCTTTCCAACGTGCTCACCTTGCTGCAGTCACTTCTGGTGGGCCCGGAAAATGGATGACGTGGCATGGCCAGAGCCAGCCAGCTGGGGAGATGTGGATCATTCCAGGTCAGCATGCCCATGCTGCTGGGGCCGTGACTGCTGCTTCACCAGCGGGTGCTGCAACTGCTGCTGGAGAGGCCAGACGGAGACAGGGTTTGCAGCAAGCAGTGGGAAGTGGAAGTGTGAAGTGCATTTATCCCTGCTTGGCGTGTTAACTTTTGGCTATTGCATCGTCCCACTTGATGTGTTCATGGTGCAATAGGAGGAACAGGAACCTCCTTTTCGCACATGTTTTGGATGTGGGTGCACCTTAATTCTTTGCGCTAAATCGATTTTACTAGGTGATTGTTCATAATTTATTATATTATTGTTCTCATGGCCATTTGGCACAATTGATTCTAGATTTCCCCCTTGTTGACATCTTCAGTTTCGCCCACTAGATCCTGCAGTTGACCAAATAATTATCACCCTCCTCTAAATAACAATAAATCAATATTGCAGTTAACATCATATCGTAGACGAAAACAAGTTTCTCAACTAAAAATCTCGATCACCCTTCCCACACCCCTCTTCCTCATCCCGTCAACCCTCAACCTCTGCTTGTTCTCTTTTTGCTACTCCCCTCTCTCCAGCATTCTCCTCTAATCTCACCACCCTCAATCGTTTCCCTGCGATTCGAGCACCCGTCCTGTGCACCCCATTCCTGCGCTTCCGTTACCTGCGGTGTGCCGCGCTGAGTTATTTCGGGCCGCGGCTCCTCCCTACTGCTTCGCGAGGCGAGGACCCGCTGCTGGTTCTCACCATGCGTACCAGGGTTAGCGGCGGCGCTGCTGGTAGTATTAGGGTTTGCCATTCGAACAAGTGTGCCGCTTGTGGTTTCCGTCCCAACGTCCGCCACCGCCGTGCCCGTGTCTTTCGCCGTCGTTATCAGCAAGTGCGCTTTTAGGCTCCCGCCACAATCAATGGCTGCGAAAGACGCTGGCAGCGAGAAGTCCAGTTCGGACCCCATGTCATTGTACCCCGTATATGCTGTCCCGCTTTCGAGCAATTTGCCATAGGCCCGCGTTAACGGTGATGAGTAGTAGTAGTAGTTGCGTGATGGGACGGCTACCGACGCCCAGGCGCGTTTTAGGTTTGGGGCAGGGACCAAGTATGCACGCAAGAGGCTTAGAGATTCCTCAGAAACACCCGCATGCAGCAGCCTTTGATAATCCTCAAAGACACCTGTCGCCGCCGCCTTTACCGCTCCGTTCGTTGCTCCGCTCGTCCCTCCCGTCTGCGGCATTGAGACGCACCAATGCGGACTTCTTGTCGACGCAAGCCGGCGTGTAACGGTGCTAGGTTTGTCGCCACTGCTGCAGCCGTGCACGTGACCGTCACGCTTACGCCGCATCCGAGATGTTCGACCAAAATAGTATGGCGTCATGGGACTTTGAGCCTGCCGGCTGGCGTCAACAGAGCCAGCCGCATTGACTGGGTCAACAGGGTGAAGAACACCCGATCTGGGGGACGTTAACGGCGAGTCGGGCGAGCCAAGCGAGTCAAGCGAGTCTAGCGAGTCAATGGACATGACGATGTCCAGATCCGCCTCGTCAGGCTCCCACGCGGCGGAGTCGCAGACGATGGCCGCACCATGCGCCGCCTGCGGCGGCAGCGCCTGATAATGCGGCGGCGAGCTGAGCGGCGCAACCTGCGGGCCGCGGGGCGGCGCGGCTGATGGCGAAGACGCTGTTGACAAAGATGTCGACGGAGTCATGGCGGTCGCTGAGTCCTGGTGTCGGGTTCTGAGCTGTCAATTCTGGGGCTGAAGCGACTGAAGCTATTCCTGAAGCTGTCAATCCTGGAATCTCCCGTAGCGACTTTGGTCGAAACCTGCACTCGAAGTGGGAAATCAAGCTCACGAGTGAAAGTCCGAGCATGTAATGGAGCTCTTATCACAGTCCGACTGAGCCCCGAAGGGTGCTGCCAGCCACCCATCACCATCCCAGCGGGTCCGACACACAAGAATCCGCCTCATCCGCGCGACCAGGGTGGAATGGCGGCCGCGACGGGAGGGGGTGGGAGGGGGAGGGGAGGGTAAAGGCGGTGGGGTTGGTCGCACATGACTTGGCAGCTGCCAACGCAGCGGTTTGGATTGAGAGGCCTCGGGAGGGACGGGTCACAGGAGGCGTTCGGTTCGGATAGGAGGTGTGCGTTCGAGATCGGCGGACGATGTGACATTTGAGGCGACTCAAAAGTCACCTCGTTACAGTGGGAGGCGTTCGGATCGGAGGCGTGCTCTCGAGATCGGCGGACGTAATGGATTCTAGTTTCTAGCCACAAGAAACTGTGCGAGGAAATGTTGATGAGAGGCGGGATTTTGGAAACACCGCACAGCATTGGTCGAGATTCAAGAGCTCCCCTCCCCTCCCCAGGAATGCCGCGGTGCGTGGGTCCTTCGCGAGAGGCGCCTCCGATCCCCATCTCCTTCTCCCCTTCCCCCGGCAACCCCTCACCCCCACCTCCCCTCCCCCCCACCTTAACTCCCCACTCCCCCCCTTCCCCCTCCCCCCCCCCCCCCCCCCCCCTTTCCTTCCACCCGATAATATCTCGGGGCCCGAATTTCTTGTGCAATTTCTCTCCCTTTACAGTCCTCGCCGTGTCGCCGTAATCGCGCTGGCGACCCATGGGATGGCTGACCCGGTCAGAAAAAAACAATTGGCCGTTTCTGTGGCGGTTTTCTGGTCGCACGAATGGTCCCGCCAAAGCCACCGCCGTCTTTGTCCTTTATGTCGAGTCCGACAGACCAGACCAGAGCATCCTTATCCACCAATCACGTCACGCGGGTGTTTAACACGTCCTCTCCTCTCCTCTCTATCTTCCTCCCACGTGGTCGTCACGGGTGGACGAGGAAGGTGGGGAGAGAGGGAGGAGGTGAGGGGAAAACGAGGGGGAAAAAAGGGAGGGGGCGGGGGTGGGGAGGAGAGGGGGGGAGGGGGGATACCTGGAGTGTTCCTTGGAGGAAGTACACTGTACGATTATTTCTAGATTCTACAGATTTTCTCGATTAGAATCCCCGTGAAAAACACGCGCGCTGCGGGCCTCTGTGGAAAACTCACAAACCCTGGGCAAAAGGGAACTTGTAGTCCCATCTGAGGAAAATTGCATGTAGAGTGATTTTCCCTCGCTACTAGTCGTTTTTTCCTGTCACATACGTACATTCGGACCACGCTGTCTTCAACTTCACGTCGCACAGTTTGCCGCGTTGATCAATGTCGCAGGACAAACGGGCAGACAAATACAAAATCAATTATGTTCAAGGCCGAGATGAAAGACAACATTTTTCGTCTTACTCTGTAAGCGAGATTAATGAGATAGCATTGTCGAGCTCGCGGGGAACCGCGCAACAGGATTTAGACACAAGCGCGGTCAAGATAAACAGACATTAACAACTCCAGAAGTAAAAAGTGAATACAAAAATTCTTTAGTTTTATATTCCGTGAGTGTTCTGACAGGCTCGATTTGCGTCCTCTGATTGGCTGCGGAACTGATTCGTGCAATGATTCAGTCAAAATGCAAGATTCCCGCCAAAAAGGGGACTGTAGAGGAGGGGATACACCTAGGACTTGTGTGAAAATTATACTCGTTGAGGGAAAGGGACTCTTTTAGGAAAGACCTCTAAGCCAGAACATTTGTAGCTTTGTGGTTGCGTATCTTACGGATGATGATGGATCTTGCAAGTTTGTCCACAGGTTGATGCATTCGAAGGCGCCCTGGACTCGCTGCCAGCAAATTCTGTGGCATTCTTTCCCTCCCCACCCTCCCCGCTCCCATCCCCCCCCCCCCCCCCCCTCCCCCCACTTCCTCCCCCCTCTCCTCCCCCGCCTCTCCTTCGGCCGCCCCCCCCCCCCCCCCCGCCCTCTCTCCCTTCTTCTCTTGTCACTTGCCCCGCACAGCCTGGCGCCAGTGGAGCAAAGCGTTTTTCACACTTTCCCCCGCCTCGCCTTGTGCTCCACAGTAACTGACGCGTTGGCAGCTAGCTGACTGTTTGTCACGAGTGCTCCAGCCAAAAGTTATTGAAAGCAAATCTTTGCTAAAACAAGGTTTCATTCGTGAGCAGGGCGGAGCACGGGTTCTGTCTGGCATGGGATGGAAGCAGAGCAGGAAATTTCCCCACGTTCATCTGGTCTCCCAAATCATGCCTTGCTCAACGCGCCTCTCTCAAATGATTGACGTTCTCTGTGCGCGAGTAATTTCCCCTACACATTTTGCTCACCCCCTGCACGCGAAATTGCCTTGCACCGGATGGAAACCTTGCACCCGTGGGTTTTGTGCCGTGAGGTTGCACCCACGGTACAAGCACGTCGACCAATACGAACCACAGAAACTGAAGTATGACTGAAGAGACTGCAGTCAAACAGTCAACGGTGAGTTACACAACTTTTTATAAGCCCTTTTTGCCCGAAGCGAAATGACGAAATCTCCGCGAAATGCAAGAATCGCTTATAAGCCCAGAGGGTAAGGCAAGGTCGGGGAGCTCAACCGGGCATCGTGTGTATAACAAGAATGACGGTATACGCTGGGAGCTAAAGTACTCTAAATCAGGGAATGCGAGTCATAAAGTAATCCCCCAGATAAGCTACCCGCCGTTTATGCTGGTTTGGGGAGTTTTTTTATGGGCACGTCATTGTTATACCCTTTATTTCTATCCAGAAGTGGCCTGGTCAGTAGAAAGAGGCACTTCCAATAGATGAGGTCCTGGGATCGAACCCACCCCCGTGCAGGCGTGTTCTGCCAGCCCCCAAGAAGGGGTTAGCATGTGCTCATCTAGGAATGGATACCCCTAAAACTGGTTACGACCAGAAATATAACTTTAACTTTATACCCCATATTTCTGGTGAATCTAGACGATTTCGGACACAGTGTCCCATTTCCCATGAACTTGCGGGGCTCGCCTCGTTGGCGTGACAGTCTACAGTGAAAAAATTGCCCCTGCCACGCTGTACAGTTCAGAGAGGCGACCACGTGGCACCTGGCACCTCCATGTGTGGGGCGACAAACTCGCCACCACATGACCACATTCATGCCCCAGTTGAGATGAAGTGTACAAAGATTCGAAAAAACACAAAAATTTACCTCATTCAATCAAGCTTAAAACTAAATAATGTCATGCCGGGTGGTTTTGTGGTGGCCAAAGTCGTCAAGGCTCGCCAATACGTTCTTCATGAACTGAGAGACGTCACATGCGTTGCATTTGTCCGTATGGCATCACACGCATCGCCCTGAGACCGTGCGACATCGTACGCTTTGCACCGCCGGACGTACGTCGCACAGAATCCGGACATTTAGCGATTTTGAGAAATGTTCTTCGCCCTTAGGATGTCTTATACAAAGCCATAGAGGGCTGAGTATTAGGCGGACCATGTGTAAAAGCCTTAAGATGCTTTCCCCACTCGTTTACCTCGTCAAGAGGAGAATGTCGTGTAGAGTGGTGTACTGTAAGGAATTTTCTCGACATTCCTTACCGCGACCGTCAACATCGCGTACAGCAGGAGCCGTTGTTCGTGTCAGACTTATATGCTATAGTCTGTGTAGGCTGTAGTGGGGTAGACAATATGGGGTACAACACTTTTAGGTTTTCCTACTTGTACCCACCTGTTTCCTAGTGCATTCATTCCTCGTTATTTCACATGGTATAGAGCAGGTTCCCTAGTGGGAACGCTTCCTAGGGCCCACCACGATCAAAAATTTTTTTTCCTGCCCGGAGCGCGCTTCGCTCCTGCCCGAGTCGCGCCCGTGTGTGCCTGCCCTCCAGTCGCGTCCCCTGCCCTTAGCGGCCCGTCGCGCCCTCGTAAGGCCCCTCGCGGCCCCTCTAACGGCCCCTCGCGGCCCCTTCGCGGCTCCCTCGCGACCCCTCCGCCGCCCTTCACGGCCCCTCTCACGGCCCTTCGCGGCCCCTTACGGCCC